AACTACAGGAATAAAAATCTTAAGCGGAAGACAACGCAACATAATTCAATAAGTTTCAAAGCAAAAACTGCACAATTTACCAACGTGTAGGAATTAACTAAATTCACCGAACCGAGTAACAGGTTGGGTGTACATATGTTACGGTGAAACACCGAAATCTGGAGAATGTCGACTTTCACCCGTGAATGTCAACATCCACATATTCGCTCGGTGTATGTCCGAAATATTTTCCAAATACTCTTATTTCAGACTTACACCGGTCAATGTCGACATTCCCCATGTACTATGGTGAATGTTGAACATATAAGAATATTATATTTTCTTCTCCGTAATTCAGTCGCGAATAAACGCATTTGAAACTTAAAATAAGAACTTTAGAATATAAGAACTTAAAACACACAGTACATTCAAACTGATAGAAGATAATAGAATAAAATGATAGAAAATAATAGAAGATAGAAATGATAGAAAATAATAGAAGTTAAAAACTTACTCAATTATGTGATTCAAATCTTATTTATTTCAACAACTTAAACTATTATGACACTTTGAGTTGCACAAGAGATCCTTGCTTTTACAAGTGAATTTATTTGGGAAACACTTCCTTTTGCAATGACAGCGTGTACATATACTCCTCTTTTTTCGACCTACACCAGAGCATATCTGTGATTGTCGACATACACCGGTGAGGGTCCGAATGTACAAGAATATGCAGTATTTGATCTTTCACCGACGTATTTGGTGAATGTTGACATTCTCTGGTGAAAGTCGACATTCTCCAATTTCGGGCTTTCACGGTAATATATAACGTTTGAAGCGGCAGATCGAAACCAAAACGTGAGGTGGGCATCTGTATGTTTTAGCAGTCCCATATACAAAATTTCAACCTTCTAAGGCCACTCGTTTCTGAGTTTTGCAAGATACATACATATGTACGTACGTACAGATGTCACGAAAAAAATCGCATCTGAATCCCTTTTAAATCCATCTTACAATACGTTTTGATAAAACGAGTACTTTATTCTTTCCGTACGTACAGATATCGGACAAAAACATCGATCAAATGGATTCGAGAGCAGTCAAAATGGATATTTTCGTTGAAATATGATACACGAAATTTTCGCGATTACAATACTTTCTTTGCTTCGTGCAAGGGAATATATAACGCACATGTATAAATGGTAAAACTGGAAGATCGCTGGAAGTTTCGAAGGTATTTTATGCAGATTATGTTTAAAAACACTTTTCTGAGCCTGCGGACTTTGATATTTGCTTTTATATTCTGTGTATTTTATTTAACAATATGTTTCATAGTCTAATAAAAATACAAATTGCATAAAATTTTGGTTACCAAATAACAATACATACAGAAAATCTGTACCACGAAGTAGTTCTCAATTTTCTTCAACTCGCTACAATTCAAATACAGCGATTTGAAGTATATTTAGTACTGTTGTCACTTCTAAAATAATGCAAATTTAAAAGTGCTTTTCGTAAAATTCTTCAGACCTATGACAGTGTTTATATTCATTTCATTCTCCCAATCGCACACCATCACAAATCACAAATATCATTCGATATTTTTATTTAAGAACAAAAGCAAAATATTTATAAAATTTTCCAATTTTGTTAGTCCAAAGGAGAAATTGGCCCAGAAGGACTATTAATTTCGTTTTGGCATTTTGCGTTGATTCGCTACAAGCGTTGTTTTAAATTGTCAAATTGTTGCTACCCAATATTATCGCCCCTATATTATATTTAAAGAAATTAAATAATGAAAAATCTGCATGAATGTATGCATGTTTCTCGCATTGTGATAAAACAACGGTACCTACAGCCATCCAGTTTTGAATAACGTAATCCCCCTACGAATATGGGCATCTGGAAGCCCAAATTAAAATTCGGAATTTGTTTTACTATCGATTTCATATTCTGTAAAACTTTAACGAATTTTTGATCAACTAACTCCAGGATTTCAAAGCGAGCTATGGAAACGTTGTACAGAAAAAACATTTTATCTCCAGCGACAGAGACTGTGTATTCTAAAGATATGCTCAATTTAAAATTATTTTGCGATATTTGCTCTTGAACTGAATTTTATGGTTTAAGTGCGAAGAATATAATATTGAATAAACAAAGATAACACACAAAAATGTTAAAAAAACGCCCTATTGGACGTAATTTAAAATCTGAAACCTTTCAAAATTTTTTTAAATTCTATTTTTTTAATTTTTAAAGGAGAAATTTTCGATAAGATTTCATTCTATAAGCTAAAATTTACAGATTGCATTATTTGCGTTCTCAATAATAATTTTAAGGCATTTCATAATTGAAATCAGATGTCTCACTATTTAATCAAATAAAGCCTGTTGCCATTTTTTACTTCTTCGTACGGTGTAAAGGAAGTACTCTAATCACGAAAATTTCCGAGTATGATATTTCAAAGAAAATGTCCATGTTAACCGTTCCCGAATCCAATTAACCGATATCTTTGCGTGGCATCTTTACCTATGAAGAGAACTAAAGACTTTTACAAAAATAGTTTTAAAATGGATTTAAATTGGATGCAGAGGATATTTTTGGTGACATCTGTACGTACGTACGTATGCATGTAAGTACGTATGTAGGTATGCACGTATGTACACTGCGCAAAAAAAGGGGGGGCAATTTTATATGTTCCGTTCTACTAGGCAAATTGATAAAATTGCATTTTTCATGTCTCGAAAGTGCGACTTAGGATAGATATTAGATTTATATATAGCATCATTCTAACATAAGTAGTTTGACATAAAATCGGACTTTTTCTGAAATGACATGCCAACTTTTTTACATATTTCGATTCTACTGCTGAAATTAGGTCTATTATATTTTGTAAAATTTGGTGCGAAATTTACGGAGAAATTTAAAATTTATCTTGGCCTTTTCTTAGTTTTCGCCAAGAATAACTCACTTGGGGAACTTCTTAATTTATGGCAACCTATTTTCCTTTCCTTTCTTACACTGTGCACGGGGAGGGGAGGGGAGGGGGACGTCACATCGTTCCTACTTTCAAATAATTTTAACAAAGTGCCTAAATTGATGTTTCATCATTTTCAGCAGGCCCACCAGCGGCCGAGCGGTAAAGTCGCTGAACACTGGTAGTTCGGTCCGAGGTTCGAATCCCGCGAACGGGCTGGCTGCATGGGTGTTTTTCGTGGTTTTCCCCATGTGTAACGTGTATACGAGCCAGTTTCCCTTAGAAAGTCCTCCACGAAAGGCATCCCTCCTCTTAGGCAGATAGCCCTAGTGTGCTTTGCCATAATTAAATACACCACCACCATCATTTTCAACAAATATGCCAAATTTCAAAATGAGCGAACATATAAATTCACGTACATTTTCAGAAATTTTGAATATAAAACTCTAATTTTTTTGCAGGTATACTTAAAAATAGATTTACTTTAAGATGATGGTAAAAATATATAGGTTATTATTAAAAAACGGTTTTCGAGAAATTTATAAAAAATTATTTAAAAATAAAAACTTAAAAAATAAATTATAAAAAATGAGCGAAATTTATTTGGAATGAACCTAAATTTTGAAATGTCAAAGGAAGAATCAAATAAGTTTAATAAAAAAAGAGAAATTAGTAAATATTTACCAAATCGAATTAACATTGCGCAGCTAAAATTTTGAGAGCTAATTTTTAAAAACTACTCGCCAGATATTTACAAAACTTGGCAGTTTGGCATAATTTGAGTCGTAGAATCGAAATATGGAAAGAAATTAGCATGTCATTTCAAAAAAAGTCCGATTTTGTGTCATAATACCTATATTAGAACAACATTATATATAAATCTAATGCATATCCTAAGTCGCTCTTTCAAGACATGAAAAACGGAAGTTGAATTTTTGTCAATCGGCCCAGTAGAACGGAAGTTATAGAACTGTCCTCCCCCTTTTTTCCCCCGAAGTATACGTATATCTCACATAACTCAAACATCGATAGCTGTAGACCGCTGAAAATTTGCATGCTACTGCTATAACAATTAGTTATGCACCTCCTGTTTTCGTTGTAATCGGCCATATCAATACTCCCACCCGGCTCGGTGAGCTGAGTTTTTTTCATTTTTATGTATGTTGTTAAACTGTACATTTTTTGCTTTAAACGTGATTGAACTCAGTTGTTCTTATGCTCTGGTTAAAGTTTTTATGACTTTAGTTAATCTGCATGCAATAGTTGTAGAATTATTAATGATTTAAAATTTTAAGTGGCGCTATGCCAAACGAGGCCGCCATTTGCTACCAACTGAAGCTTTTTTTATAACAGTCAATTAAGTACGTTGGTGAAAACAGCATCAATGTTTTTTGCCCAATATATTATCGAAAGTGAACTTTCAATTTTGTGCAACGAAAGGTCTTTCTTCCTTCCTGTTGGCCTAATGGCTTATTTTTGCGCAGAAACTCTAATTTTTACTGTAAAAAAGGTTTTAAACAAAGTTTTTTTTTTCACTTTTTTAGGTGTTTTATGTTTTTCTGTATTCTGCAATTTTTACTAAAGTTGTTTTGTCTTTCCTGCAATTTTTACTGAAGGTGTTTTGAGTTATGTTTTGAGTTTTTACTGAGGTGCCTATATTTTTGCGTTGCCGCGAATTGAGAACTGAATTGATTGAATGAGAATTATATCTTTAATGAAATTCGAGGAAATAAGTTTAAATGAAGTGAAGCAAAAAATGTGTATAATTTAATAAGCCGGTACCAAAAATTCATGCAGTGTCCACATCAGCTATTTTTCTGAGGAAACCTCGTAATAAATAAATATTGTTTAAGTTCGTTTGGTTTCCTAATATAACTATTTCTGAAGTGTATGACACTAGATTTTGCTGTCATGTCTGTGTATAGATTGCTGTCACAACTATGTTTTTTTTTAAATAATACCATTATTCTATTCTTTATGGAACCATGAGTAACTTTTATCTAAGTAATCATGTTAACATTTAAAAATTTTTATCTCTTTTCAGATAACAAGGGCAACCGGATTCTGTCATGTGAGTATTCGCTTTTTTTAAATTTTTTGATCAAACCTAACAAGAAGCTTTTACATATTTAGAGAATCCTGTACATTGCTTTCTTCAGTTATTTCGAAAATTCTTAATAGTTTCTAGATTATTTTAATGAAATTTATGAGCGATATTCTAGAAACATAATACGCAATTTTAGATTCAATTTAAACTCTAAGAAAATTTTCTTTTAAATGTAAATTTAATCTGATTTTTTGTGTAATCCCGAGGAAAGGGTAAGATTCGCACATATTGTAGAAGCTGAATAACATTCTTGATTCCGAATAAGATATCGTTACGAATTTTATATATCTCTATATATAAAGAAAAAAGTCTGTGTGTTTGTTCGCGATTAACTCAGTCACTACTATAGCTATTGTTACCAAACTTTCTACGGTTCTTTTCTAGGTCCTGAAAAAGATCGACGTCCACATCTTTTCAAAAAATAAATAAATAAATAAATTAAGAAATATTAATTAAAAACGCAGAAAACTCTAATTCGCGCCCTCATTTTTCGAGTGCCTACAGTCTCGCACGTTGGAGATAAAAATCCCTGTCTTTCGAGAAGTGTTGCCACTGCTCCCTTTCAAATTGTAGAGTTTGTTAATAAAAAATTTCGAAGTTTTACAGTGGAATAAAAATAACGTTGCCAAACATTAAATGCATTATTCCTGATTCTAAAAATTCGTGGAAAGCCATTTCGAGTGTTCCCATCTTCGTACGACTTTAATCAGCCGAGATATTAATTAAAAACTTTGAAAACACTCATTTTTGCACTCATTTTTCCGAATGGCAACAGTCTCGCGCGCTGGATGTAAAAATGCTTTATTTTGAAACGTATTCCGCTCGCTTTCAAATTGTAGAGTTTATTAATCAAAAAATTTTCAATTTTACAAAATCTATATCGGAATATATAGGACTCGTTATTAAAGAAGGATTACAGCGGTATCGTTCTCTCTGTTGTTAGAAACATTACTCTCAATTTAACCTAACTGGCATCGGGTACTTCCGCTAGTATGTTAATAACTTTAACGAAATTGTATATGAAATTGTAATATTTGTTGGCATAATGTAACTTGAGATGCTTGAACAGTACGAAGCTCTGCCGGAAAAATAAGATTACAGGGGAAGTCTATTTAGCAAGGAAGTAAATGGCTATATCTCTAAATTAAAATTAGTGATGGTTTTGTTGATGAATTTTTGAAGCCAGATATGGCAAGAAATCACCGAAGCCTCCAAAATGGCCATCTGGCGACATTTGGATCCTGTCCACGTGTGCTGCGTTTGAATAACTACAATCGATCTCTGTGTGTAACTGTAACCGTATCTGGCTCTTATATGTAAATTTATCAGTATATGCTTCGCAATAGTTTCGAGAAGTAAAAGATATTAGAGATTTCTCGGTGGCCCAGACAACATCAGCTCTCAGTTTTTCGGTTCAGAGTCGACTTCGAAGTAACCTCCTCGTGCGAGCTTCACTGTTTAGATGAGCTTTGCATTGTGGTGTGTTTAACGTTCTTGAAGCGTAACTACACATTGCATATCGTGATGCTCAGAAGCATATCTAAATTCGATAGTTGGTTAAAAATCGACGGCTGAATTCTGACCCTAGCCAAACATAGAAAAGACAGTTCCTCCATGAAATTGGAAAAATGTTTCATTTACTTCTCTCTCTTAAAACAGATGACCACAATATTCTTTGCATTTGGGTTATAAAAACTGAAACCTCGAATCTTTGATACTTTTTTCAAAGCATACCTTCGAAGAAGTGAAATGGATAAGGTCCATACATCTTTTCGCAGATTTTGACGATGTATTGTAATTCTCCAAAAAAACGCAAACACTCGAATATTAATGGTTTTTCTTGGACAATTTGTAATTTTGGTTGTCCTACTTTGGCAAATTTAACTGAAACAAGGCAATAAAAAATTCTGAAAGGTTTCATATTTTAACCGTCGCCTAAAATGCTTTGTTAAAGCCTTTCACGTTCTCGCTGAGCTCGCTGGTGTTACAGTCATTCCTACAAATCCATTTTTTAGCCCAAAGGGCGTTAGCCCAGGAGGGCTATTGATTTCCTTTTGGCATTTTGCGCTGGTTCACTATAAATGTCGGATCACGTTTCAAATTGTTGCCACCAATTATTAGAGCCCTGTGCTATATCTAAAGAAATTAAATAATGAAGATTCTGCATGAATGTATATATGCTTCTCATACTGTGATAAAACAACGTACCTAGAGCCATCCAATTTTTAATAACCTAATCTTCCACGGAATGTGGCATCTGGAAACCCTAATTTGAAATCTGGAATTTATTTTCTTATGGATTTCATATTTTGTCAATCTTTAAAGAATTTTTGATTAGCAAGCTCAAGGATTTCAAAGCGAACACTGTACTTAAAAAGAATTTTTGTCCCTATCGCGCGAGACTGTTTATCGGAAATTCGAAAGACAGGCTCAGTTTAAAATTATTTTGCGATATTGCTCTTGAACTGAATTTTATGGTTAAGTGCGAAGAACAGGATATTTGATAAATAAACGTAACACATAAAATGATAAAAAAAAGGCCCCTTTGGACGTAAATTAAAATCTGAAACCATTCATATTTTCTTTTTTTCCCTTTTTTCTTTATTACATTTAGTTATTCAAAAAGACCCTGCGTAAAATTGTTCGATCATATGAGAAATAAAATACATAGTTTATGATGTCTGCAGTTATATTCCTAGTAAATGTTTAAGTGCTGCACTTATATTTCTAGTCATGTTTAAGTGCTTGCTAATAAATGTTTATGGTTCAAGTGCGAAGAACATGATATTTAATAAATAAAAGTAACACACAAAATGTTAAACAAACGGCCGCTCTAATATTTTTTGCATTTCTATGATGGTGGTTAATCATATGATGGTGGTTCAGTGAGTTTACTAATTTTAACACTTTTACATTTTTAACAATATTTTAATTCACTATATACAGAGCGTATTCTTAGGCCGCCGCCTTCAACATTAACAAACTTTATTCTCTCTTTTACTATGCGAGCAACAGTGCCCTCTAGCCTTTTCCTTCAAATTACGGAACACCCCTTTTACAATGGAATTCTTCTAAAAGGAAAAGTCGCTATTTGAAACATTTAGAACTGATTAGGGGAAAAAAATATCTTTAATGATTTTGAAGTTAACCAGTTTCTGACCGGACATGGGCTTTTCCCGGGATACTTCGCTAGGTTTAAGATACAGAACGACGATAAATGTAAACTATGTGATCTGTTTGGTGATGATAAGCATTTCCTAGAGGTCTGTCCCTACTTTGATGGCCTAAGAAACAATAAAAATACTGATTTTGAAAATCCCTTTTTATGCTATAAAGATTTCGCACAATTATGTAAATCTGTGATGAAATTTATTGGCGGTGAGCGCCGGGCAGTGGGAATCAGTGTACGATATTTGCATTTTACTAATTGGTATTTTTTAATAATTTGTTGTTACCATTGTTTGTGTTTGTTATTCGCTTTTTTGTTTTTGTCTTTAGTGTCTGCTCTTGTCTAAATATTTGTATTTGTTCCTTTTCTTCACTTTTATGCTTATATTTATTTATTTACACATGATTATTCTCATTTAGATATTTTATGTTTCATTTTTTCATTTGTTGAAATGGGCATGGCCTGTCATGACCAGAAGACCAACTTGTTTGGTTAGGCGGGTCGGGCTGCGCCCGCTACTGATACTGATACTGATACCCCTTTAGGCGAAATGTAAAATTTGAATGCTTTCAGATTTTGTTTGGAAAAGTATTACTATTATTATTATTATTCATTTTTATTGGTCTTCTTACCTGCATTATTAAACATAATTTTCTTCACAATTACTGTTCGTATGCAACAATATATATATATATATATATATACACATATATATTCAAGTTCTCAGTTCATCCTATCAATGTTAAGCTTACATACTAAGATTGCTTTACAATTTTTTTTTGGTCTTTTTATTTTTAACATTTTGTGTGTTTACTTTATTTACTAAAGATCGCGTTCTTGGTGTTTACTCCCCATAAAATTCGATTCAACGGCAAAATCACAAAATATTTAAAAACAACTTATCTTTAGAATTTTCGACAGAAAGTTTTTCGCGCTGGAGATAAAAAAAAAACTTTTTTTTTCGTATACTACCGCTACTTCTCGATTTCAAATCTTTGCGTTTATTAATCGAAAATTCGCTAAAGTTTCACAAAATATGAAATAAATAATAAAACAAAATAAAAATTTAAAATTCGGGTTTCCAGGTGCTCATGTTTGGCTGCATGATTCAAAATTTGATGCTTCTAAGTACCTTTTCTTTTGCTAGAACTATGTATATGTTTATGCAACAATTTGAAAAGTGATACGTCGTATAAAGTGATTCAATACAAAACGCCGTTTGGAGACTAATATCTCTTTCGAGATTGACGTCCGGTTTCGGTTAAAAATAATTTTATTTTTCAATGCTCTGCAACTTTATTGTAATTTTAAAACAGTTCTTTTAGTGCTTTAACTGAAATATGTTATTTTACAGCTATCTGTGACGATCGATGGAGTATATACAGAACGAGGTTTGACGACTGGGTCCTTTTCGATGCTGTCCAGCAGCGTTATCTACGTCGGAGGGGCTGCACCTACCACCGCTGCCCAACTCTTGCCTGCTTCCCGTATTCCCAACTTTGTTGGATGTGTCCGAAAGGTAAGCTTAAAATATGAGGGTTCGTGTTGTTAATGTTGTCTTGTCCGAGAAGTCGGTTGAGAGCAGTCAAATATGACTGAAAGAATCCAGAACAGCAGCAGCAACATCAATAATCTTCGAAGAATATACGAGTTGGTGCGAGGGAGTTATATCTGTACTGAAGAGCTTGGCCAACATAGCAGGATAGCCGAAGAGATAAACCAGAGAAAGTTGGATATCAGTACAGTGAGGATAGCTATTATAATTTCGCTGGCCATCAGATGATATCTTCATTCCTTTCAAGTGTTTTGTCTTCAGTCTGGCTCTGGTAGTGGAAATGGCACGGTTACAATTTAGGGCAAGAATGGAATTCTTCTTGATTGATTGGGAGATAAGTCTTCGGCTGGCTATTGCCTCAGCGTCAGCACGTGTTAAGCTGTTGGAAAGTTGAGAACTATTGCGGGCGTCTTTAGCAAGGCCATCAGCCTGCTCATTTCCGCAAATATCAACGTGCGCTGGTATCCACTGCAGTGCGCAGGTCTTTCGGGCTGCAGTAGTTTTGTTCATGAGCACGATAATGTCCTGGGTAAGTTGAGAGTTGCCCCCTTAGGATGGCTTGGAGCGCAGATTTAGAATCAGAGAATAATAAGAGGCCACTGGAGTTCTGAAGGGCCTTCGAAAGGAAGATATCTAAAGCCGTTTTGACGGCCACGAGCTCGCAGGTATAATTTGAGAAAATTTTACCAACAGGTATTTGATGACATTCAGATTCACCATTAGCTTGAATGAAATAGATGATTAGAAAATACGAAGACGAAGGAAATAGATGAGGGTTGGTATAAAGCTCAGTAGGAAATATTTATCAGTTTTATATTACACTCTCAGAATAAATTTTTCTGGCTAACTGACAGAAAGCGGAATTTATTTTTCCGTCAAACTAGCAAGGAAGGTTTTTCAACTAGAAAGGCGTCAAACTAGCAAGGAAGGTTTTTCAACCAGAAAGGCGTCAAACTAGCAAGGAAGGTTTTTCAACCAGGAATGAGGAGACTTACGGCTGAACTATTGATCTATTTACAGCACCAAAATTATTTATGCACCCGGCGTCTAGCAGTGTTAACGAGATATCAAAATCCTATTAGTTAGAAGTGTGCGGGGGAAAACCTCTCTTTTATGTGATCAGATCAGAACCGTTCGTTCAATGAACTGACTCAATTCTTTTTTACGACCCGTCACTCACTAATAACATCCTTGATAAATAAGTTCGGTAACGGGGAGGGAATCAAGACTGGAATGCGAAGATGAAGTGAAGAGCCGAAAGAATGGAATGAGTAGGGGGATCGGAAGAATCGACTCAGTTGAGCTGCTAACTTTTCGGACTGATTTCTTTCAACTGCTATTTTGATATTCCCTAAAAGTATTTTTATACATACAACTAACAAAAAATTACGAAATAAAAAAGATGTTCAAAAAGTTTGGACATGGTAAAAATTTAATTCTAATTCCTTTTCTCCCTAAACAGGAATCGAAATCTCTTTGCACGCTTCCAAGAAGAGCTCTAGGTGGGTGGATTTTAAAACAGCTACCGCTCTTGTTTTGTCCAATTACCTTTCGTTTGCAAAGTAAAGTGAATCAATTTTTCAAATCAGCTAGCGAGCGAATGCCCATCAGTAACCCTAGCAACAATACAAAAGATTAGCAATTATATTAAAATGCCTTGTAGTAAATTAGAATAATTATACGCGTGAAGCCTGGGCTGTATCAGAAAGTTTTTTAATGATGCGGACTAAAGTGCATATTAGATCACAAGCAATTAATAAATGGCTGATATGGACACCACATTTCTTGTACACCATATGTAAGGCCTATTAAAGCCAAACTTCTTGTATTTTTATTTTTTCATAATGAGAACAAAACTTTCCGAAATATAGGTATAGGAACCGGAAGACATCGCATTAAAAATTATATTCAAATTTCGTTATTTGTCAAAAATCAATTTAATTTAAAATTTGATTTTCCCCAAACGTGAATATTTTCGTTATTTAAAACACTTCTGTAACTGGAATTATATATGTACATCCGACAATAGCGAAAATAGAAGCCAGGCAGGGACTTTTAAGCCAGGCAAGGGAATGGGTATATATGTGTATACTTGTGGCACTGCCGATTGCAACAGAAAATTGAGTCACACAACTAGATCTTATAGCAGTCCCATGTACACTGCGCCAAAAAAAAAAAGAAGGGGGGGGGACAGTTCTATATCTCTCATTCTACTGGGCCGATTGACGCAATTCAACTTGCGTTTTTCATGCTTCGAAAGCGCGACTTAGGACATATATTTGTTTTATATATAGCATTTCTAACATAGGTATTTTGGCTAAAAACCGGACTTTTTCTGAAATGACATGCCAGTTTTTTTCCGTACTGCGATTCTACAACTCAAATTATGCCTAAATACTAAATTTTGTAAAATTTGGTGTGAAATTTACGGAGAAATTCAAAAATTTATTTTGGCGCATTTTCTCAGTTTTCGTCAAGAATAATTCACTTGGCGAACTTCTTCACTTGGCGGAGAAGAATTCCTTAGCGAATTTCTTCATTTATAGCGGCCTATTTTCATTTTCTTTTTTGCATTATAAAGGAGCGGGTAAAAAGTCATCTTTCATACATTCAAATAATTTTAAGAAAGTGCGTTTTATCTTTTGGCGTTATTATCGCTCGGAAAAAAGATGCCAAATTTCAAAACGTTCCAGTACGTAAATTCATGTATATCTTAGAACATTTTGAATAAAAAACTCTAATTTTATGCAGGAGCGCCTAGAAATACATCTACTTTAAGATGATGTGAAAACGTTTGTAGGTTTAACACAATATGTTTTTCGAAAACTATTTAAAAAGTACTTTAAAATATAAATTTTAATAATAAATAATTAAAAATTTGAGTATTATATTTGGATTAATCCTAAATTTTATTATAATTTATTATAAATTTTATTATAAAATTTAATTTTCAATCAATTCGGTTCTCACTTCGCAGAAGGAAAAAATACATAAAAACTCAAAATACTTTCATTAAAAATTGTAAGATACAAAAAAAACAAAAACACCGAAAAAAAAAAAAAAAAAATAAAATTAAAATTAGCCAGAAAGACGTGTTTTCCAGTGCACAAAACTTTTGGCCTCACTCGGAAAAAAGACACTGAAGTTGGCGCAGAAACTGAATTTATTTTGCTACAGTAGAAGTCCATTAGTCCGGCATCCAACAGTCCGGAATGCCCGATAGTCCGGCATCGCTCCGGAAAATTGTAAAAATTTTGGTTTTCTCCAAAAGTGTGTCTTTAAAGCAAATAAAACCGCTCGAAAGCTATTCGGAAGTTTTCGGGGTAGTTCGAGATCATCCGGAAGCGCTTGGTATTGTTCGGAAAAAATTAGCGGCCGGCTAGTCTCAGCTGTCACAACAAATTCAGCTGCAGTGCAGCTCCGTTAATCAATCACGAAGCGTCTTCGCCATTTTTTTTTTTTTTTGTGTGTGCGTTTGGTTTTTTTGTGTCCTTTCACATCGCAGTAAACGTAACTTTTGAAACTGTTTATAAAAAAAGTGATTTTCGTTCTAACTGTACAGTGACCATGTTTTCAAAAACTAAGCCTTCGAGTTCAAAAGGAGAGAAACGAAAACACGTAACACTGACTCTCAATCAGAAACTAGAAATCATCAAACGGCTAGAAAAAGGCGAGAATAGAAATGTTTTAATGAATGAGTTTAATATTGGCTCATCAACTATTTATGACATTAAAAAACAAAAAGATGAACTAATGAAGTTTGCTTCTCAATCGGTAACAACTGAAAAATTGGCTTCTAGACAAACATTAAAAAAAACCAAAACTGGAACAGCTAGATAGTGTATTGTTCAAATGGTTTAGTGCAGTACGTTCTGAAGGAAAGCCGGTAACAGGGCCAATGATTGTTGAAAAGGCAAAGAAATTCGGCCAAGATTTAGGAGTTGCTGAAAGTGAATGTTATTATTCTGATGGCTGGCTCAGAAACTTTCGGTATGGAATTCGAAGACTTGATGTAACTGGAGAAACCCTTTCAGCAAACCAAAACTCTGCAGAAAAATACAAAGACATGTTTGAGAAAATCGTGGCTGATAATGATTTAACACCTGAACAGATTTACAATGCTGATGAAACAGGGCTATTGTGGCGATGTTTACCAACATCTACACTAGCTGGGGGAGGAGAAAAGCAGCCAAGGGTTTTAAAAAAAACAAAGAGACAGATTAACCGTTTTGCTATGTGCTAATGCGTCTGGAAACCACCGAGTGACCCCTTTTGTGATAGGTAAATCTGCAAAACCCAGGGCTTTTAAGAATGTTACACACTTGCCTGTCCAATACGATGCTCAATCAAATGCGTGGATAACTGCCGCCCTCTTTAAAGACTGTTTTTTCACCACTTTGTGCCTGAGGTCAAGGAATCCTTCAAAAGCCTTGGTCTACCAGAAGATACTAAAGCCATCCTTTTTTGGACAATTGCAAAGCCCATCCGCCAGTAGATGAGTTAGTTTCTGGAAATATTGTTGCTACTCTGCTCCCACCTAACGTAACATCTTTGATTCAACCCATGGACCAAGGGGTTATTCAAAATTTAAAATGCTTTTATAGAAGGTCTTTTATTCAAGGCCTGTTAAATGCCGACTGTGACGTGACTGATTTTCAAAAAAAGTTTACAGTAAAAGATGCCGTCTATGCTATTTCACAGTCTTGGAACCAGGTAAAAAATACAACACTCCAAAAATGCTGGAGAAAACTTTGGCCAGCTGCAAACCCTGCATCTGATCTAACTCTACAGACTGATGAGGAAGAAAACCATCAAGACGCTCTGACCAAAGTTTTGGATGTCGTTAGAAGTACTGACAATCCCTTGAAAAACCTGCCTGAAGATGAGGTAGAGGAGTGGCTTTTAATCGACGAGAATGAGCCTGTTGAACAAGAACTAACCGATGAGGACATTATCAACATTGT